GTGCTTCAGGAAGAATCTCTCCTTATATATAATAACTGTGGACTATAGTACTGTGTATAGTATGTATTATCTGTTGTTGTATGTATTATCCTCTTATGTAATTTCTCTTATCATTTAATATGTCATTTTAATACTTTAGCTTTGTTTCAGCCTTGTTTCAAATTGTTACTGAGTTTTAATTTCCGCATCTTAATCCTATTACATTGCTTGTCAGATGTTCCATCCTACTAACTGCATTGATTTACACAGTGTAATCCATCTTGAGTCTCAGTGAGAAAGGAGGACTATAAATAACATTAATAAATAGAATTTTGCTAAAAGTTCTTGTTGGATACAAGCTAATGACCCATATAAAGCCAACTGGTTAGCTCATGGTACAGACAACTGTGGATCAAGGTCAGTTCCCAGTACAAATGACTCAAGCAGCTACTTGGATCACAATTTGTGGAAGGTGGTGGCATGGGCAGAAGTAACAGATGTGGCTTGCACCTGCTGTAATCCAGATCCAAGTTGTGTGTGTGGGAGGGAGGGTCACTGTCCTGAGTCCTGCCTTCCAGCAGAATTTGAGGAGGCATTGCCTGACTCTGATCTGTACTTCCATTACCCATTCCTGGTGGTTGCTCTTTCAGCTGTAGGCTGTACATATTACCTCCTGACCCATGCTGTTTGGGACTTATTTGAGGTGGTAAGTACCATGAACAGGCCCTGCTGCAGATTTATAAGTTCACACATTTAGACTGAAATCCTATGCACTCTTCCTTGGGAACGTTCTATATAACTCAATGGGATTTACTTGTAAATAAACATGTAGGATGGAGTAGATAGCCCATTGCATTACACCAGCTCTCACTTTGTTGATCATAATCTCTGCTGCCTGAAGGTTACACTGCAGTTTGTGTACTTAACTAAAGCTGCTATTTATAAGCTTATACTACTGAAGCTGTGCATCAAGACTGAGACTAAACGAAACATTGAGGGTGCATTCAGATGCGCCGTTTGATCTGGTGTCGTCACGCTTCAGAAACGGATTCCGAAATCAAGTAAGATACCGGCTTTGTGGAATGAAGCTACGATAATGTTGATTCATAAACCGAATTCTAATGAAGGGGAAATTAAAAATTATAGGCCAATATCTCTCCTGAATACAGACTACAAAATCTTTGCTAAAATTTTGGCAAATAGGTTGAAAAAAGTATTAGTTCAAATAATACATAGAGACCAATCGGGTTTTCTACCTAAAAGAAAAATACAAAATAACATTAGAAATATAATATATTAGAGTATTAGGAATTACACCCTGGAAAACCGATGTCTCTAATACTTCTAGATGCAGAGAAAGCCTTTGACAATATTAATTGGAATTATATGCTACAAAGGTTTTTGACTTGGGAATGCGGGAATAACTTCTTCTCAATGATAAAAGCTATCTACACCACTCAAATTGCAAAAATTCTAGTAAATGGAGATCCTACGAGAAATATACAAATACAGAAGGGCACTAGGCAGGGATGTCCATTATCTCCTCTACTGTTTATTTTCACTTTAGAATCTTTAAATGATAGGAAAAGGAATAATGATTTGGTGAAAGGATTAAGAATAAAAGGGGAAGTGTTTAAACTACAGGCATTTGCAGATGATCTAATTTTTGTAATAGAAGAGCCAGAAAAAGTCTTTAACTTATCTAATAGAGGATATCCAAGAATTTGGTAAAGTAGCCGGATTGAAAATCAATTTTCACAAAACCAAGATCTTAATTAAAAACTGTCCACAAAAGTTAATACAAAAAATTAAAGAGATCCCAAAAATGGGAATAGTACAAAAAGCGAAATATTTAGGAATTTGGATTACAAATAGTACAAGAACCTTATACCTTATATGAAAATAATTATTTACAACTCCTAAAAGAAGTTAGAGGAGACTTGAATCGGTGGGAGAAAATACACCTCTCATTATTGGACAGAATAGCAACGGTTAAAATGAATATTTTACCAAGATTTCTGTTTTTAGCCCAAAATTTACCAATAATTAAAAAATATCAATACTTTAAAGACTTTGGCAATCTAAAAAACCATGAATAAAAACTAAAGATCTTCAGGGAACTAAACAGAAAGGGGGATTCGCATTACCCAACTGGCAACTATACTACTTTGCAGCTTCTATGGGTTGGATTAAGGAATGGGCTAAATTAGAGGATACAAGAACATTAGCTTTAGAGGGACATGATTTGGCAATGGGATGGCATGCATAAATATCCATTCCAACTTTCATACACATATAACTAGAAGTGCCCTAAAAAAAGTGTGGAATTTAATAAAAATCAAGAACTAAAATAGAATACCAATGTGGATTTCACCTATAGAGGCATCTGCAAAATCGTCATTAATATTAGGAAAAACTAAAGAGACCTATGGTCAGTTACTAAATAAAGCAACAGAATTAAAAACGGATGAAACACTATTAAAACAAAATATAGAGCTTTCTTGGTGGGAAAAAATGTATTGAAATCGAGATACACGGAAGATAAGAAAATAGGATTTTATAATAGCCCAACTGAACTCGACAAAATATGGCTTTCATCAAACGATAAATTAATTCAGAAAATGTACAAAAAATTATTAGAAGACTTCTTAAAAGATGAGACTATAAAAACATCAGTGACAGCTTGGATGAAGGAGATTGGGCACACAATAGAGACAGATCACTGGTTAAAAACACGGAAAACGCTAAAATACATGAGAGCGACACCATACAAGGAAAATAGGTGGCATTGGACCCCTGAAAAAATTGCAAAATGTTTCCCGAAGGCATCAAACATCTATTGGAGATGTATAAAAAATATAGGTTCATATCTCCACATATAGTGGAGATGTGATAAAATTCAGATTTTCTAGAAAAAAAATTATAAAATATTTTAGAAGTATTAAAAATTAATATGCCACTAATACCAGAAACACTTACTAAATATGATACCGGAAACAATAAAAGACCATACACATAATTGTATATATACTGACAACAGCTAGAATGCTTACAGCAAAACGGTGGAAATCAAAAAGCATACCCTCTATAAAAGAAATTAAGCATAAGATTCTGGAAGTAGCAGAAATGGACAAATTAAATATAGTATTACCAAATAAACCAGAGGAGCTATTTAGGGATAGATGGGAAATAATTTATGCTTGGTTAAAGATGGAGTAGATAAAACAGGTCTAAAAATATGCTAGTTAAAGACAGATGATGTTTAAGAAGGAAAAACTTTATGTTATGTTATGAAATTTATAAGCTTTAAATGAAATTGTTTTGGTGAAAACTGAAAATAAATTTACAAAAAAGAAAAGGATTTTATATGCACGATCACACAATCAATATCTGCCTCCTATTCCCAGCCATTGGTTTCCAGCTCAAAACTACTTTAACCCAGAGTATTTTATTATCAGGTCCCAAAGTGGTGTTTTCTCAGCTCTCCCGTTTAAAGCCACATTTTTCCTGTGTGATCGCTCCTCCGGTGCCAAGCCACATCCGGTTTAAAACCCCTCCCCACTCGAAAGCTGCCCAAGGCTTCCACTTTCTGCCCACCATTTTTTTAATGCATTGGCGGTGTGTGCATAGGCGGAGCTCCGCTACCGTGTTTAGAAAACCGACATTTAAATGGTCACTTGTTTTAGAGTTTAGATGAGTTTGGGATCTCATGGAGGCCATTTTCGGGTCAAACTTTTAAAGGGAAGTCTTTTGTTGGAGGGGTTGGATTGATTTGCCCTGGTGGTTCTGCGCATGTGCCATGATAGTTCCCCCCATTCTACAAAGGGGCGCCTATGCGCATGTGCAAACAGAAAAAAATCTGAAACCCGCCGACGCACGCTCTCACGCATCAGTAGTGGAGACACCGGGGAGTGACGTGACTGCGCGGTGAGGCGGCATAAGGGAGGTAAGTGTGATCGTGATTATCCAGATTAAATATAATCCAGTTAGAACCGGAGCAGTTTAACCCGCTCTCAGCACACCGTCTGACCGCACCCTCAATGTGTCTGAGCAGCTACCAATTCAGACACGATTACTAAGACAAGAGAATTTCTACATATTCCATAACATTTGAAAATCCTGCCCAGATTGTAGTAGTAGAAAAGGAATCAATAGCACCCCTTAAATATAAGCAATAAGTTGAGGACACGTTCATCTGAATGAAAAGGAGTCCAGTTTCAAAGTTCTCCTTATGGAACAGAACTTTCTCCCTTCTTGCCAGTTGTGCCCCCCCCCAACATTACCCAAGGGACAGCCCCCCCCCCCAAGCACAGCACCGGAAGTGTGTGGTACAGTACTAACTAGTGGAATTTGCCTTATACCATGACATTAGAATGGTAAGGTATTTTCATAATTTTATTTCAGAGTGAAGTTAAATCATTTTATAATCCATTACAAAAACAGACCATGCATTTACCTTTAACATAAAACTGCATCAAAATGATGGTGAGTTAAAGGGTTAAGGAGGCAGCTATCATTCCAGATTCCACAAAAGTCATTTCACATTCTGCCCAATACATGTGCATATATGCTATACAGATGAGATCTCCAAGGCTTCAAAACAAATTTATCCAATCAAATGTCAATGTCCAGAAGCAAAAGACTAGGGGTACCAAATTTGGATAATGTGACCCCATCTTTAAGGGATTCCTGCAGCTTTCCAGCTGTAATGTGCTGACGAGAGTCTCTTCATGGGTCCAAGAATGCAGAAGATAAGGCAGATACCTCGTCACTGTATGAAATATTACCAAATTAACACACTTGCTCAGGATTCAGAAAGCATTTTCAAGCTTTGTTGAAGCTAAAACAAATGCATTTAGAGTTACTGTGTAACACATCTACAAGTACACAGAACAAAACAAAACTAGCACCATGGTGAGTAGGATGGGGATAATCATTACACATCTATACACAGCAGCACTTTAACCTGTCTCATTGTGGCACAACCCTGCTAAGCACAGTCTTATAACTGTACAAGAAGGTAATGTACTTCAGAATCCATCACTGATCATCCATTGCTGGATCTTTAGTTAATTTAACTGATGAAAAGCACATTTAATATGAGCATTAAAAAGCTGAGACAACATATTCCAAATACTTCCCCCTATGTATTAGAAATGCTGTATCAGTACAGTTCACATACCTGTCAAATTTCCTCCTACAGTAGCAACATACATAATCTATGATACAGAGCAGGACCTGGACAACTATGCCCTTGTCTCCCTGAGACAACTGCTCCTTGCTCCTGAGACCTGGCTGTTAGTTGCACAGCCTTGTCTGTTGCCTCCCCAACTTGCACCTCCACTACCCAGGTTGAAGGTTAAGATCCAGCACTAAAAAGCTGCCCCTTTCCTCTGACTGACAAAATCTTAGTCATATCGTAACCCCAGTGCAGTTGGAAAGCCAATCCAATATGCTGGGGAGACAGTCTTGCTCTTCAACTTTAACTTCAAAAATTAAAAAATGTTCAAGCAAGCTTATAGTGTTTCTTCTACAACACTTTGTTTGCCTCCCCTACTGCTGACGAGATTAATCAAAAAGGAAAGTTGCTGATGGGGATGCTCTACGGAAGAGCAAGCTGGAGCCTCTGAACAGCTGCCCCTAGGAAGAGAAGAGGAAAAGGTTTAGGGGAACTGGTTGCAGGTATCTACCCCCAAGAGCAGGCTCCCAAATGCTGCTAGAATGAGTGCTTGCAGGGACCATGAGGGCCAAGTCACAAAGGGATTCTACAGTCTGAAGCCCAAGGATTAAGCAACTGGGGTCTGGTATAAAAGTCCAAGGCCCTGTATGATTAAGTGAAGGTAAAAATTTGCAATTTTCAGTGAATTAATGTACCAAACCATATACATGATTGCATTATGTTATCTACCAGAGATATAGATGTTAAGAGGCAAGCATGCCCATTTATATCATTAACCCCTTCATGTCAAACCCAGTTGGAAATTAAGAGTGGCAAATGTTCTACACCTCTTTTCAGCCAGTTTCTTCCCCATTGCCTTTACCTGGACCACTTTTCAATACAGCTCATCACATTAGAAGGCCAGCATTCATTATCCAACAATCACCTCAAGAGAGGCTTTTAAGACTCACAATTTTTCTCGGCACATTTAAAAAATGTTATCCCTAGCAGACATTAAACTAGCAAGAAGTTGGACATTTACAGTGACTAGAAATCAGAGAGACTGTATTGTGCTTCACTCCCAGCAGTTACTTTGAAACCCTTTGCACAATGCCTGTGTTAGGAAAAATCAGTGACTCTGCAGTCACTTTACTTTACACAACTTGCTTTATTTTAATTAAAAAATTCCATTCAGTAAAAAAGTTGAATACAAAGCTTTACAAGTTCATTTCCAATTCTATAAACAAATCATACAGACATTAAGTTCATTTCTCCATGCTAGTCAAAATAATGTTTCATTTGACTTTTTACCTTGCAGCATACATGTTAGATTACTCAACTAGAAAAGGAACGTAAATCCAAGCAAAGGAATGAATACAGTTGAGTAAGTTACTTTTAGTTCATATAGTAATTGTAATGTTAATTTGTACTGCTGAGAAGACCAACACTGAGCCTTTGTTGTGCTTGAAGGGCAGAGCTGTGAAGCTCAAAGACTGGCACTCTATGCCAACAAAAATGCTGCAATTTTAGATGGTCCTCAGATAAATGCAGCAAAAAGCAAACAAAACAAAAATAAATCCTTACAAAAATCAAGAAAAAGAAGCACAGAATGTCCTCCTTCATGTAACAGAAGCTATGAACTTGGCTTTGCTACTTTGCAATATAACAGCTGCACATCACCTTCCATTCAGTGGAACTCTCCAGTGACAGAAGAACAACACAAGCTCTGGAACACCACACCTGATTCGTTTAGCGTGCAAGTGTCCCTTTTCATCACTCCTGTATTAGAAAAGTTGCTGTCCCACATGTTGGGTGACAAAGTGGACTTGGGAGAGGTCAGGAACAGATCTCTACTATGGAGTAGAGTAGGAAGATTATGGCGATAAGTAGGAAGATTATGGATACGGGTGGGGAGCAATGTTCCCTCTAGGCTGAGTTAGTGTGAGCTAGCTCACAGTTTTTTAGCCTCCGGCTCACACATTTTTGTCTTAGCTCGGGAAGGAGGGCTCCAGAGCAAACTGATTTATGCAGTAGCCAAATCGCTTGCTCACAGCTTTAATGCCAGTAGTTCACAAAGTAGAATTTCTGCTCACAAGACTCCACAGCTTAGAGGGAACATTGGTGGGGAGGAAGAGCCACTTTGATAAAAAGGAAAAATAAGGAAAACCTGTTGGGCTTCACATCAGTAGTTTCAGGAATATTGAAATGAAGGGAAGGAGATGATCGCTTGCAAGTGCAGATAAGACAAAGACAGGCTTGTCCACGTTTGGGATTAATTTAATCATACTCCAAACAAAAAAGCCAACATGTTTCTTCCCTCCTCTTACAGGGGAATTGATCATCAAGAAACCATCTCTGTCTACTCCCTTCTCAATGTAAAAATTGTTGCTGCTCACCTGAGCACTGAGATGTCTCCAACAGTGAATCCAAGAGGAAAACACAGGAGTGTATGGAGGGAGGCCAGCACGTAACCTACACAGCAAAAAAAGAGCAGTCAAGGAGAAGAATATACAGAGAATAGTATACTAAGGGAGCAAGGAACAAGCAGTGCATATACAATACTGAGCACAAACTGGGTAATATCTGCATCTAAATACTCAATTACAACTAAAGAACAATGCAGATTAAGTTCCTGCACTAAGAAAATGTCATTAAAACTGCAACACACATGCCATCTGACTGTTCGACAAACTACAGATACTTTACAATTGCTGGACTAAAAACTCATCAACCAACTGCTTTTATAAAAAGCCCAAGGTTGTAAAATTCAGAAGACACAGCCTGCTTCATATTTATTAGGCTAAAAATACAAGCTGTGCTAACAAAAATATCTGTGAGCTGTTTATATATGTACACACATACAGCCAGCCTGACATCCTCCTGAATCTGTATCTATTTACTTCATTTATACCTTCCTTTTCTCCACTGTTCTTACATTATTCTCTTGTATCAAATCCATGAACTGAATGGCGACTGTATGATTATGATCCATGTATGATTATGATCTATGCCGATAAAGGTTATGAACTTGAACTTGACATTATTCTCTTCTCTTCCATTTTATGTGTGACAGTGTTATGATCTCTGGTATGGGAAAGCTATAGGTGGACTCTGCCAAACAGGAAACAACTTGCTATATTTCTATTTAAGAGGCTGGATAGTTCTTGGGGGTTGGGGAAAGAGCAGAATCACATACCCACAGTTGTTCACTGCCATGAGATCTCCCACAAGAAGAAAAGGGTATGTCAGCATGCTCACGGCAATCTGAAACAAAGTAAGTTTAAAGCTTTTTTCCGCTGCAAAGCTGAATACAAAATGAGCAGGAAGAATCCATACCACTGAAGTCTCCCAGATTATAGTCTGACAACTCTACACTACACTGACTCTCAATATTCAGATCCACCAATTTCTATTAAAAATCTGGAATACCTGGAAAGAGACCCACATACTAAAAGGGTAAGAAGGTTAATGGCTGAGTTTCAGCCTAAACGTTGCACATTGTTGATTATGGGTTTATTTGGATCTGGGTAGGCAGTTCAGCTGTTTCTCAAGCTTCAGGGGCCACAACAGTCAGCAGCACTGTAAGCATTCAGATATAAGAACTAATTGCAAATGCAGATCTTTGAAGTCATCTAACTTGAAATGTGTCATGTTGGCCAGATTTTAAAGGGCAGATGGCTGCTCCTTTTATAAAACCCAGACCTTATAAAGTACAGGTGGCAGAGCTAGTGGTGGCTGGGGGAACTTTTGAAGAAAAGCAGGAGGGAGCCTGCATATGGCACAGAGTTAGTTTGCACAACTCTGGCTCTTCAAGGGGCTGTGCTGTGCATCTTGGGAGAAGGCTATAGACTAGCAGCAAAGTTAAGGGAGTAGATTGTACAGTAACATGCCATAAACTGGTATTCTCTCATATTTTGGAGTTGAGGCACACTTACCAAAAAACTTTGGCAAGTATGCCACCGGTCCCAAGTATGAGAGATTGGAAAGCACTACTTTAAACCACAGTAGCAAAATACAACACTTTAAACATCTCAGATCAGAAGCAACCCCCAAAACCATTTGCTGCCACTCAATGTTTAAGCCAGTGTATACATGACTGCGCATAGAATTTATTTAAGTGAATCATACAAGCAAGCCACCGAACATCTGGTAACTGCACAACAGGAAGATTTGTTTACATACCCCCATCACAAACTTGGTGTAACTCCGGATCACAGAGGCTTGGTTGAACTGAAAGAAAGAAATCAGACTGTCTGATGCCTAGGCCACCGTATAGATTAAGTGAATACAGGAAGATCAAGTAATCCATACTGCTATTTTTAAAAAAGCAAAGAGAAACTGGCAGAGGACTTCCCACAGCTATAAACTGACTTGTATCTGACTTGTACATGCAGCAAGGCAATTTTGGTTTCTCCAAAGAACCCATTGACCTGGAGCTTTTGAAGTTACAACTTCTCTAAAAGGAAACCCAAGCCCCCAGAGTCATTACCTTATTCTATGCAGGTCAGCCTACTCTTTCACAAAAAGAGCCTTTGGTCACACACCACCTAGCTTAATACTTGAGGCCATGCACAAGAGGGAATAGATTTCATGAGCCATATTAAAAAACAGTTTGAGAAATCAGTTTGAGTGTTTTCTTTAGACTCAGTATGTTGTAACTGACAACAGAAAATTAATCTGAGCAAAGCAATGCCGTCCAAAAGAAACCATGTGCACAGGGCAGAAACAGCTGGATGACCCATTATAGGATTTTTTTTAATGGTGAAACATAGATACAATCAAAGCAAAAATTGAAGCATAGATATAATCAAAGAAAAATAATTATTTTAAATACTTTTGCCATCAACCTACACTCTTTTACATGATAGAAAGAAAACAGATTACAGTTCATTTAATTCAGATGTCATACACCTTCAACTGAGATAAAGTTCATAAGTCTTCAGCCAGGTTCCTAATATGTCAGTGAAAATTTATTTCTTCCACTCTCCTTTTACCGCCAAATGTCTTATTTTTGTAGTTCAACCATTAATCAGCCTGCTAAAATCTTCAGAGTCACACTCATGATATGAACCACAAAACAGCCCCTCAGAGTTCAAAAAGGCTAACACTTACGTTGTCATCCACTGCGTAGGTGTTAATGAAGTGAGCCAGAAGGTTGCAGCACCATAGGAAAACAACATCACCTAGAATATGTGGAATTAAACCTCTGGGAAAGCAAGAATAAAGGCTGGATTAAAAAAAAGAACTCTTCAATTAACCTCAAAGGGTTTGAAGATTCCACAATCATGCCTATAACATTATAATCTCACCTTTGTACTTAGAATACAGAACACATACTGGGGATACAAAATGCTGAACTAAAGTATTAAATCAAAACCTGGGCCACCAACACAGAAAAAAGGAACAATATGAAGTTTCCCACTTGCTTATAAACTGTTGGTCCTTGAGGGGAGAAAGGAGAAAAGGAGCTCAGACCAGATGTCAATGCACTGAGAATGCAGAACTTCAAAGAGACAGCACAGCAGGTGATTTTGGAGTAATAAATCATTATCATCTTGTACCAGATTATATTGGTACATTAGTACAGCTGATCATTTCCAAGAGGTAACTAATACTGGCAAGAAAAAATGGTCTGTTTCCATAGTATTCACCTAATGGCAAGAAAAATGTTACCATACCACCAGAACTATATGTTTGTCCGTATTCAAACATACAGAATGATTTTTAAAATGAGTCCACAAATATTAATAACAATACAAATTTGGAAAAGGCAGGCTTAAATTACAGGAATTTCATCCTTAATTATCATTATGCCTCCCAACTGAAGTCCATTGTTCAATGGACAAAATTGGACACGAAAAAATGTGATTTGCTTTGGAAGAAGAATATGTAAAATTTCCATCAGGAACTCTACCATGGTACATAGATCACCTTTAAAAAGATTAAATGCTTTCTTTATATTCAGTGCCTTGCACTATTATAGTGGTACAGGCAATGGATAAGACCAAGAAGTCATTAAGTCTAGCAATATTATCATCATCTATTACCTGGAATGATACATTTTCTCTTGGTGGAGACACTACCAAATGAAAACAAATGCCATTCGATTCAATCTAGTCATTATCTGTTCAAAACCAAAAGGTCATTAATGAAAGTGCCATGCATAAACACACAAGGACCAGTTATTCCAAGGTAGGCAGTATCAATGAGACAGTGTTCAGATTAATCTATGCAGTCACAGTAATAATGGTTATATTAAATGGTCTACATAGCAGGAAACAGCAACAGATTTCACAAGTTTACAAGATGTGTTTGTTACAGGTTACCCAGGCAAACAAAGATACTGTAACATCTTTATCTAGATTATGGAACAAAATATCTGCACCACTCAGTCCAGGGTACCCATCAAGGATATCTTTCAGTACCCTACCTATGGGAGCGCTATTTAGGATACATCATATAATGTATAATAATCTCAATTTTCCTTGGTCATAAATACAAAAACATTCATCTACTAGTATTTTAGAGTATTTTCCACTGCGACGCATGCTGCAGACATGGTCTTAAACTCAAGTCTTGTGAATGTTTTTGGAGTAGATAATCTTTCAGATAAATTTACAACATTTATTTAATTCAACAATGCATTACTTTATAATTCAACAACTTTAAAATTACATATTTCCAATTAAGGAGCTATATTATCACTAAGAATGAAGGAAAACTGACATGAGAAATGACAGTATTTTAATTGCCGGTACATATTATAAAGGACTGGAAAGAAGCACTGTCAAAAATGTATAGTATGTTACAGGATATGAAAAATGTGTTGGATAACAACAAACTGTAAATGGAAAAACATGTTGAATACCCTAATCTCAATTGTAATATGACAAACTATTTGATTTGAGGTGTTGCTCTTCTGTTACGTATAAACTGGAGAAAGCAAGACTATAAACTGATGTAACTGTTAGTATTTAACAGCTTATCAATTAAGGGAAATATTATCATAACGGAAGTGGAAAGTACTGGTGCTTGCAAAGCATGTATGGTTGGCAGATTCCAAAATTAAAATGTTTTGGAAGAAAATTTAAGGTGATTGATAAAGTATATTTTATTATCTAATCCACTAAATGTCTTATTAAGGGTTCTAGTATTGTGAACTAATTGAGAATCTGCTTGTGGCTAAGATCTTGATAGCAAATAAGTGGTGTCACCATCATCCTCTGCCAATGGAAGAATAAGAAAGATTTGGAAGACTTCTGATAAGGCAAAACTGACGGAATATGCCTCTCAGGTATAAAAGAAAAAGCATAGACTATTCAAACATTTTCTTAGGTGTTCCAAGTTCAAGAGTCCACGAGGACACTACATCCTTTTCTTTAACTTATGTACACATTTTAATATATTTAAATAACCTTTGCTCTTCTAAGCAAATGATAAATAGAATGTTTATAAACTTACAAGACATCTAGAAGTTCATTCTTAATGTGGTTCCAAATGACTGCTACTACTACTGGCATTCATTGCCAGCAGGGGATAAAAGAGCTGCCTAAAGAGCTAACAGGATACCCTGCTTCCAATTGCATTGTGCCAATCGCAGACATCATTCTCTGTGTCTCAGCTGTCCAAAAGGATTGTTAGAACCCGCATACCTTTTATACTTCTGTTCCAAGCACCTCACTCTTTCATTAGACAGAAGACTACCTTGTCATTGGATTTTTTTTACAGAATTCATAAAGGTTTCACTAGGTCACATTGGTGAGTATCTTCCTTAATCCTTGTCATATTTTAAAGATTTTTCTCCTGTTACAAAGAGGGACTAGAGTAGTATATTTGCATTTAAAACTGAACCACCACTGATAACTCAATGAATTTGTTATTCATAGTGAGCACAAAACTTGGGATTTTGCTCTATCTCTAATCTAGTATAGATCTCTCTGTCCTGCAGTTCCATGAAAGGACAGCACTCAGTGACTGCAAAGACTATTAAACACTGACTGCAAATATGAGGTTTAGCCACTTTACTGCTGATCTAAAAGCAATCACAGATAAAGTAAGATTTGCTAATCTTCTTATCACTATTTTGATTGAGCCAGTTGTAGTTAACTCCTGTTATTTAAATAAGGCTTGCACTCCTTTCCTTTATAGGCTTTGAGTTTATGAAGGGAGAAGATCCAGGGTTGAGAAGCAGTCAAATACGCACTGCACTCATATAATTTTTACTTGTCGTAACAGGCAAAAGCCTTTCCTGTATTCTATCAGATGAACACTGTGGACCTGAACTATGAGGGTGGAAACAGTAACCTCCTCTTCTGCTAGCAGATTCTTATTCTGGATCTGAGGCCACCCTGAATATGTAATGCCTGATCATGAATAGCAACAGAATGGGTTCAAATTAAACACATTTGATAGGAATTTACTTAGACTCACGTACACGAAGAATCCCCAGAACCCTTCTTCTTTCAAAATGGTCTCAATGGAGCGCAATACACCCCTGCTGAGAAAGGGAAAGGCTCAGGGAAAGGCTCTCATTACCCCCTCTTGAATCTGCAGATTATTGCAGTTGCTACCATCATCCTTCCACATGGGAAAGAATCATATATTTCCTTGACATAATGGATCTGCAAACTCATCATGAACAGTAGCCACCAGTGCTATAACTTTACTGCATGGACCAGGGAAAGAAGGAACAAAAGTGTTCCCACTCTTGAAATCTCTGGTCACTTTTAAGTAAATTCAAAGTATTCAAAAGTGTCATAAACATGGTAGCAGAGAACCATTTACTAGTGGCATTCTTAAAATTAACAGTTTAGCCTAATTCTGCTAAGACGATTCTCAAAGGAAGAAGGTCATCCTTCCTTCTTAAGAGAACAGTGATGATAAAGATTTAACCGCTGTCACAATTATGCAGCATAAACATAGCAGACATTCATTCAGAAGTTTTATGCAAAGAAAGCTTAGAAAATTATGCTTTTATGGTGTTAGTATGAGATATTACATTTTTCAGTTGACCCCATAATGTACAAGTACCCCCATTATCATCTAAGTGTGTAGTTTAGGTAGCACTAATTCATGCAGCAAAATTACATCAGTGCTGACATGGTACACTGAAGGACATAGAACCATGCTGCATTTCCATCAAGTCTCACCATTGTGTGGAATGCACACCTACATGGCATGACACCAAGGCTAGTCTTTCAGCATTCTATGGTTTAAGAGTCAGGTTCTATGGTTTGAGAGCATGGTTCCCATGCACAGTGCTTACTATCTTCCCTGCGTCCTCCCCTTTGAGATTCCTGAACATGTGCATTTCAGTACAGTATATTCTGAAATGGTATCATGTGTCTGCCCATGTTCTGAGGGGGCTATTTACACAATGTGTGGGATATCTGGCACTTCTGGCTTCAAGTGGGGGTTGGGAGATATATAGGGGCAAAGATGCAGCTGACTATGGGGAAACTGTGTGAATATCAATGTTGAAGCTCTGCAGTTTATATTGATAAAATGATACACCTGACAGTTCTTCCTAGCCTTTACTTTAAACATCCAACTCAAGAACACCAAGAGATTCTCACCCATATTTAACTTCCCGTCCTATAAACTGGACCATACAACGCATAGAGATTACTGTGAAAGAGAGAAATGAACACAGAAGCAAAGTTTGCCATTGCACAAAGTTCTGTGAACATGGCCACAATACAAAACCAACATCGTATCAGATAGTTCTCCACTCACCATTCTGAATCAAGGTACAAAAGCCTACTTCAACATTCCTCCACACTAGCAAACCACCACCAAAAGGGGTGTATGATTTATACCAATTTCTCCCTCACTGTTCTTACTGTACACATTTGGTTCAACACAAAAATGAGATAAACTGCAACCATTTTCAATAGGTAAGCAGTTGGTCCTGCTACTTACAAATATTTTCCCTTGTACCTTATGTAGCAAGAAGCTCTCCACTGCTGAAGGAGGCTCTTCTACTGGTGCTCAAGAAAAACTACCAGCAGAAAAATTTCATAGGGACCAACCTTTAGACTTGAAAGGACTTCATTTGGCCTCCTGATTAAAATCCATAACAGTAATAACAGATTCCAAATAACTGCTGCAGCTACGATTGGGGGAAAGAGGTAGCAGCTAAGAATGGGGGAGAGAAAGTTATTCTATGGACAACATCCAATTTTTAAGTGGCAGTCCAGGAGTAGTCTGAATAAGCATTTCAAATACACAATCAAGTGCCTGGATACAGTTTTTGCAGACCTTTTGGTGGTTTGGATCCCACAGTGTTTTTCCTCCAATGGGAAAGGGGAGAAGATGCTTATAGATTTGCCGATCATGCTGTTTCTGGGGTACCTTGTCTCCCAGTTTGTCTCCCAGGAGCAGCATTTCAGGAGGCAGTGGAAGGAGGGAGTCTAATAAGCCCCATTCTGCTGATGGAGATGCCTTCTGTTAGCAGAGATTTACCGCAGGATCCAAGCCAGTGAATATCCCTAGGTACAAGATGTTGTTATTGATTCACTCTAATTTTTATCACACTCTTTTTGAAGGCTACTGGTTATAAGGATCCTTCTGAAATTATCCAAATATAAATTGGTTTACTAAATACCATTTTATGTTCCAAATCATGCAACAGTATCACTCCAGCCTGGTACATCAAGAAAGACAGGTATTTTGTATATGTACATGCTTTGAGTAACCATGCGTTCCAAGTTAGTGTCCATTTCTCTCATGTTAAGTGTATATATCGTACCAGTGCTCCATCAAGGTCTGTACTGTCTTCTCAAACTGGCAGCAGCTCTCCAGGGTCTCAGGCAGAGGTCTTTCACATCACCTACTGACTGGTCCTTTAAACTGGAGACTTCAGGGATTGAACATGAGACCTTCAGCATGCCAAATGGATGCTCTATCACTAAGCTACGGCCTTGCCAATGTATTCAAATTCCAAGCACATTTTTCAGTAAGACATGACAAAATAAAAACCAATGGTTCTTGATCAGGCTACAAGATTAATGTTCAAGCAGAGAAAGGGACTGAAAAAACGCAAACCCTGCACAGCTCACCATGCAGCGGATGGGAGATAACCCGGGACACACACTGCATCATCATCTCATGGGAGGTCTAATAAAATATAAACACAACACAAATCACCTTCTGATAAAATGGCATCACCTGGCTGTAACTGACTCTACAGTTAGTTGCATAGGGAAATTTGTTTTAATGGAACATATCTTAAATTATTTTCAAATTACAAAATTGTTTGCTTGACTACATAGAATGCTGCAACTTCCACTGTCTCTTCATTATGTTAAGTCACTCCCTGTCTCCCACACAGTCTTGCTTCAAGGTAACTGTATCCCCGTTCATTCAGATAAGTGAGATTGTGAAACTGAACTGTAATTAGAAGCCAAGGGAACATGGACAACTTTACCTCTGATGTACATCCAGGTTGCAGATGTATAATGAGCTAAGTCTAAAGGCAAAAATTCATTTTCTTGAAATTTCTCAAGCCTTCTAGCTTCATATATTCTCTTTAATTAAGCAATTTTACTTTGTTTCCTGAATGCCAAGTATGCCAATCTCTTAACCAAATCAGACTGACCCCATTTATTAGTAGGAAAATGTAAGATACAAACAGTCTTAACACTACCACTCATACAGAGTGTCCTATCTTCTCAGCATCAGAGGGACAACAAATCAACCTCCACACTGAACACCCGGGATTATTCACTAAACTATAAAGCTATTAGATGAAGTTGCTCTTTTCAAGTACAAGATAAAAAAAAGCCTTTGTGGGTTCCACCTCTTTCACCACTTTCCTGAGGGAAGTTTTCACATCATCCTTGTTCGAAACATGCTCCATATCCTCCAAAGGAAAGGCCTGGAGTATAAAAGAGAAAACACAAAGACATCAAACTAGTTTCCCTCCACATGCCTTTCTATGATTAGCAATGGCAAGTGATGAAGTCATGCAAAAAACGATCAGATTTTGGGGCAGAGAGGCATGGAAATTTAAAGTAAAAATAAATTCTACAGTTTCTTATCAAATCTAATTTTTACTACTTTAACAGCATAAAATGCATAATTTAAACACTGTACTATTTGGCATATTTATACAATTTAAAAGTTAGTTTTCTAGTTACTTAGTTTTCTAACTTTTTGTTTGTTGTAGTTTTTTTACAATCAAAACTGTGAACACACCCAATATATAAGAAAAAGAGCAGCAAACTGTTGCACTCTATACTACCTTAGCCATGCATATCTTAGTTTTTGTCATCTGAGAGGTAGGAAAAAGTTAAAATTAACAGAAATCAGTTTTTCTAGTAAACAAATGGAAGTGTATTATTGGGACAGAAACAGTCTCATACAGTCACAATTTTATCAGCAGCATATCTGGATATGACGTAAAGCATAACATGGAAAACAAAACTCTTCAATAATGTATTATTGTATATGTAATATCTTATTAATTAAACAAAATCAGTTGCCTTCAAGCACTGTATTTTTGAAAATTATGTTATATGTGTCTATAGAAATTATAATCTCCTACTGAAAGAAGTCTTACATAGAAAAAGCTTTAAAATGCATTCCACTCAATCTAAAAGAGAAAAATATTTCATAGGACTTTGTTTTCAGAGCACCCCAAAATGTCCATTTTTTTGGTTGGAAAAACAGAAGACAATCCTAAGAGGACCCCCCCCATTTTCCCAAAAGAAGAAGGAGGAGGAGGACGAGGAGATTGGATTTATACTTTGCCTTTCACTACCCAAAGGTGTCTCAGAGCGGTTTACAAACTCCTCTCCCCACAACAGACACCCTGTGAGGAAGGTGGGGCTGAGCGAGCTCTGACAGAAACTGCTGTTTTTCAAGAACAGCTCTTATCAGAGCTACGACTTGCCCAAGGTCATCCAGCCAGGTACAAGTGGAGGAGTGGGGAATCAAACCCGGTTCTCCCAGATTAGAGTCCGCACACTTAACCACTACACCAAACTGGCTCACACAACACCCAACCAGAGTACAGAACTCTGGCATACTAACAAAGTGCAAGTAGTGGTCAAATGCCCTGTTTAAGCAAGATGCTGCACATATGCAATAAACTATGGCTAAGGGGGACAGGTTATCACATCCTGCCTTCCCCCAAACAGCTCAGGGTTGCATACATGGAGCAAGTTCAGATCAGCCCAGCTATCTTCAGAACAAGCCAATGCAGTAAGGTAAATGTGAGACAGTGATGACCAAAGCCACCCAGTGTGGTCAACAGTAGAGCAGGGATTTGAACTCAGGCAACCACAGTGACGTTCACATCTCCTTCTCAACTCCCTTCTTCACCATGTTTTTGCTGAATAATTCCTTCCACTCTCCAGAAATAGAAGAAGATGAGATTGGATTTATACCCCACCCTTCACTCGGAGTCTCAGAGCAGCTTACAAACTCCTTTCCCTTCCCCTCCCCACAACAGACACCCTGTGAGGTAGGCGGGGCTAAGAGAGCTCTTTCCAGAACTGTCCTTGAGAGAACATCTCTGACAGAACTATGACTTGCCCAAGGTCATCCAGCAGCTGCAAGTGGAGGAATGGGGAATCAAACCCGGTTCTCCCAGATTAGAGTCTGCACACTTAACCACTACATCAAACAGAAGGAAACTGCTGTACTTTTCTGAAACTCTCAGCTGGGAAATATGTAAAGGTCTCTTGTTGATCGCCAAGTGCTTGAAGCAAACCGTGGCATTAAAAAGTATGCACCCCAAACTCCGTGGAGCTTGCATGAGCTTCTCCATCCCCACACACTTCTAAACAACGCACAGAAGGGAGTGGGGTGGCAACCTGTTGACATTTCTTAACCGTACATTAGAGCAGACAGTGCTGAGCTGCCTTGCTTTCAGAGCTTTCTTGCACACAGCAGGAGGAGACAGAGTGGAAGGCAGCCAACTTATCTTGGCAGGAGACAGAACAGCACTTCTCCCATCCTTAATGAGGAGCTGTCACTGAAGATTAGAAAAATGCAATCAACAGCACCACTGTCAAAAGCAGAACAGGCCAAGAAGTGTCAAACTAAAACTTTCACAAGAAATAAAGGGTCACTGTGAAAGGATCAGCACCTCATTATTTTAGTGAGCTTGAAGGCATTCAGACATACTTAAAACCATTTGATGGTGACTTAATTAATTTAAAATATGGTCCATGAATGCCATCAGCATTTGATTGTGATAAAAAATGCTCCGGACTCACAAAATTAAAAGAATGTATAGAGAGGCTCCAATTACCATGAGGCCAGCTGCTGAAAGGCTTTCAAAATGGGTTTCTGTCTTTGGTTGAAGGAGAGAAGCTACTTACTACTGTTCTTGATATCTACTCCTTCCAAGATTACCTGAAAATACTTTATAGCTTGGAGCAATTCATAAGTAGCATTCAAGACACTGATTCTGGAAGGCAATTTGTTCCTTACCTTCTTCACTCGCCCTCGAGTTACAGTTGATAAAGAGCTAGAGATGATTCGAGGTATAAGGCCACGGAACAAGCCTTTTTTCCCATCCACTTTCACAATGTGTCTGGCTAGGGAATAAAAAATAGTGGTATCACTCCATCATTGGTCTTCTGGACCGCTAACTTTAAACTGACCAAAAATCTTCCTAAAATTCATATCTCAGGGGCATTAACCTATCCAAGAGCCCACAGCTCTTCGTAAAATGGATACAACCCCTGGCACTTTCAACTAGTCTATTGACTACTGTCAGCCTACCTGAAAGAGTTACACTGGATTTATTGGGTAAGGTCAGAGTGTGAAGATTCCTTTAACTCATGCTTAGTTGTGCTGCATCTTTCCACCCCAAAGGGTTCAGGTTATAATCTGCAAAATGTTTCGAAAGGAATTGCATAAAGCCTAAGTTATTATAAAGATCAGTTGGTCAGAGAAAGGAAAAACTCAAAGCAACCCTACTGTAATTAATATACTGTAACACCTCTGAAGTTAGCTGCACCAATACTAGTAAGATTGCCCCGTCTTTTTTTTAGCCTTTGAGGTCAAATGCTACCATTTTGTTTGCACTTGCATATTTTTCCAGCACAGCCTTCTACTGATGTACAAAACTCTTGCACTGATGCAAGAACTTCTCATATAAACACACTGTTTTTGCACCAAAGGAACATGTGGTTGCCAATGGAATAAAATTGAAGGATCCAGCCCTTGGAATACCAGACTAAAAGCTACCATGCTAAGAAACAAATGAGATAACATGACCTCTATTACCCAGCTATATTATTCAGTCCTTCAGTTGATCAAGTGATGTTCACTGTATAAAGCTACGACAATCAGAAAGCAGGACAAAATATAACAGACATTGCTAGCGAAGTCATCAGAATATAATTAGAGAGATCTAAAAGTAGGGGATCAGTTAGCAAAACAAATCATCCCTCACACAGAGCAACAATTTCATACCAAAAAACCAATTCATGAATCAATCTGTGATGTACATAAGTATCTTGCTACTCTACTGAATACATTTCTATCCTCATGTTTCTATTCTACCCCTTCACCTTGTGCAATATAGATCGCTAATGGATTTTTTAAAAGAGATGCCAAATATTTCTCTTGGGGAATTACCTAAATGGCATGATAGTAGGTTACGTGTTATATCCTCAGCCACCACGTAGGCTTTGGATATGTAGCTTTCAGATAAAGGGACTCTTAACATGATACTGAAGGCATGGCTCTATCTTTCAAGGAAGTATCTTTTTTTTAACTAAAGGATGACCACTGTGCATTTTAAATTATATCTTAAAAATAAAATTATGTCTTAGAAATAAAAATGATGTGTAGCGGCACAAGACATATTTAATGGCATATATAACATTTACACATCCATGAACTGAACAATTTCTCAAACCATTGTTCCACCAATCACATTAAGCATTCCCATTTCTATTATGAAACCAGTATCAGAACAAAATTGCATAAAACTACAGGCTGCAAAAAAGAATAACCAAATTTATCTATCACCCAATTGAAACCACTCAAAATGTAGCTTGTACTCACACACTTGCTGGCATCTTACATTAATAACTCACCCCCCCTTTCTTGTTTAAGATGGCACTGATTGTGGATTTTTACCAATGTAAAATTCTATGCATCAAATTATAACAATCCAGTGATTGTCAAAAACGTCAAGCAGAAAACAAAAAACTCCAACTACATTAACGACAGGGTTGCATTTCATGCTTGTTTCTTTGAAAAGCAATAAATAAAGAAATTGTGCTCTTTGTAAAAGATAACATTTCTTAAAATCAGAGAGATGTATCTGAATCATATGAACATTTGATCTACCAATCGGGTTTGAACTCTGCATGGTCTTTACTAGGAAATTCACAAAACCTTACTTGCTTTAGTAGGACATGCTCACCATATGTAAAAAAGCCAGGAAGGTATAATACTTTTCTCCCCAACAAGTTTCTCCCAAGGGTTGGAGGCAGAGGTTCGTGCCCGACCTTTAAAAGAAATATCAATCAGGCAACTTCTCCTTACAAGTGTTCTCTGGAAACTACTGATCTTTACTTATAAGTTTATGTTGTTGTTGTTGTCACACAGTCAAGTCCGACTCTTCGTGACCCCATGGACCACATCACGCCAGGCCTTCCTGTCTTCCATCATGCTCCGGAGTTTGCTTAATTTCATTATAACTTTACCTATATAAAAACTTAAGATTTTCCATTTGCTGCAAAACAGAAAGACCGCTCAGTGTCCCTCAAACAGAACTCTTCATCTGCCAGCCCAGAGTCCCACTAAACTTTCTTTCTTTCTTTCATTAGATTTATATACCGCCCTCCCCAAATGGGCTCAGGGTGGTGTACAACAGTTAAATAATACAATTAAAACAGTATTAAAATAACAATTTACACATAAAATATCATAAAATAAGTAAAATAAAAATCATAAAATACCATGTAACTATAAAAAAGGTAAAGGTTCCCTTGCTCAAAAGCCAGTCGAGTCTGACTCTAGGGTTGCGGTGCTCATCTCCGTTTCAAAGCCGAAGAGTCAGCGCTGTCTGAAGACGTTTCCGTGGTCATATGGCTGGCATGACTAAACACCAAGGTGCACGGAATGCTGTTACCTTCCCACCAAAGTGGTACCTATTTAGCTACTTGCAATTTCTTGCTTTCGAACTGCTAGGTTGGCAGGAGCTGGAACTAGAGATGGGAGCTCACTCCGTCATGCGGCACACTCAGGTCTTGAACTGCTGAACTACTGACCTTCCACAGCCTGCAGTTCAGCGTCTTAACCACTTGAGCCACCGCAGCTTCTATGGGAATCCATCCATACACAACTGAAGGTTCAGTTGAAGCCACCCTGGGGAACAGCACACCACGCTAGCATTCCATTCCCATGCATTCCACAACTGCAGGCCCCAGAGGGGGGAAACTGCTTGTGGGAAGACCCACCAGCAAATAAACATTCCTGTCTGCCATTCCAAGAGGCAGGCTGGGCAACACCCTGGCTCGCTGGCAATCAGCACTACTGATTACAAGCAGACCTGTGAGATGACTTCTAGAGCCTGCCATATTTAAGTAGCCACTTTACAGGGCCAATACATTTTAAAACACCTGAACATCCATCCAAAGCAGCATTGTGAACAGTGCAACAAACCCTGGAAACAGAGGCCTAATCAGCAATAGTTCCAGGAGTGATATGGAAATAGCATCATTCCTGGAGATACTCTGGGACAATGCAGAGACCCCTCCCACTACAATTTACTGTGAGAGGCAAATTAGAGTAGATCAGTAACCAGCAGGCAAAGCCACCAAGCTTTATGCCCAAGTGGTGATTTAAACACTGATGCTCATCTCCCATTGGTCGGGAACCAAACTTTCGCGATTCTAGGATTCTGCCTCGCTATTTCTGAGAACCTGGAAGAGGCAGCGGCCCAAAGAAACCCCTCAGAGGCTTAAACCTTGCCCACGCGTTATTGGCAACCTGGGACTCTGACCCAACCGCACCTGCACCAGGAGCTTCACATAAAGCAGCGGATGGCTCAGGGACGTGAAACCGGCGCTTAATGCCACGAAGAGCACGTCCGCCCCCTCGGCTGGGCCCGGTCCTGCTCCCGGCCCAGCTGCAGGGGGAGGCACCCCGGGACCAACAGAAGCCACCGCCATTCCCAACTCCCAAACCAATGAGGAAGCCTACTTCCGGGTTCGACTCCCTTCCCTTGTCACATGATCAGATCCGTCGGGACATGGAGTTTATACGTAACACGTCACGCTTGGCAAAGAGGTATACATCCCCTCAGCCTTTAGCGCCATTTCCGGACTAACGGCCAATGCAAAGAATGGCGGGGTATTATCATAGAGACGTTAGGGGGTAGTGCGTCCGTGGTGAAAAGAGCGGGAAAGGAACTAGTTTTTCCCGCCCTCTTCCTCCCGACAGTTATGTGTCATTAGGCGATACCATTATGAAGGCACAGAGACGATATGAAATTAGAATGAGAAAACTGCTAGTTTCCCTTCAACCAGGTTTCCTCCTGACTGTTCTTAAGACGACCCTAACCCTGTGGAGTGTTATTGAAGGAGATTCCTGCAGAGTCTCGGGGGAGTTCTGTGAAAATCGACCCCCCTCAGAATTATATTGGAAATTACCTTTCGAACGGTGTTCTGTGCAGTAAGGTAGTGGCGCCCTTTAGCGTTCTTAGGTGTTATTGTATGAGCTTGGCTAGTTTTAGAGCTAATGAACCATTGCGATTGCTGAGCAGCAGCAAATGTTATACGTATATTTTGTACTCCAAATACAAATGAAGATAGAGGCATAATGAAATGAAAACGACAGTTAATAATACAACAAATAAATGAATTCATTATTCAGCATCCAAGTGCTTGTGGAGGGAAAACCAATGCAATATTGTTTGTTAAAATTAACTCTGTGTCCATGGCAATTGGTGATGTGTGTGTGTTTGCCCTCACACAGTAAGTGCACATAAGAGCTGGGTATTTGGTTGCACGGCAAGTAGAGTAAAACAGGATAAGAAGATCAGAATTGGCATACCTTAACATTTAAAGGCTAGGGGGAAACCACATGGACTAGCTAAATATAGCAATACTTTCAAACACTAGCAAAAATATTAAATGAACCCAACATTCTCAGATGCAGATCAGGTACAATAGTTTTGCCATTTAAGAACATAAGAGAAGCCAGTGTTGGATCAGGCCAATGGCCCATCCAGTCCAACACTCTTGTCACACAGTGGCCAAAAATACCCAGTGCCATCAAGCGGTCCACCAGTGGGGCCAGGACACTAGAAGCCCTCCCACTGTTGCTCCCCCCCAAGCATCAAGAATACAAAGCATCACTTGCCCCAGACTGAGACTTCCTATCTATACCTTGTGGCTAATAGCCACTGATGGACCTCTGCTCCATATGTTTATCCAATTCCCTCTTGAAGCCATCCATGCTTGTAGCCACCACCACTTCCTGTGGCAGTGAATTCCATGTGCTAATCACTCTTTGAGTGAAGTACTTCCTTTTATCTGTTTGTTTCCTATTAATTAGCCAGTTTTTGATCCACAAGAGGACTTGTCCTTTTATCCCATGACTACTGAGCTTATTTAGGAGGCTTTGATGAGGAACTTTATCAAAAGCTTTCTGGAAGTCAAGGTAAACAACATCTATTGGGTCCCCCTTGTCCAGAAATAACTTGAAAACACTTGATCTCAAAGAGAATAGATCCAATTCAGGCAAAGAGATGTTGAGTAGGCAAGGGGATTGTTTGGTGGAAACAAAATCCTGCCTGGAAAAAACCCGCGATTCTGTTTTGCTGTGCTGATTTGCCAGGTCCCCCTATCCACCGGCAGGGAATGGTGGCATAGGGTTGCCAGATCCAGGTTGGGAAACCCCTGGAGATTTGGGGATGGAGCCTGGGAAGGACAGGGACCTAGGGTTGCCAGGTCTGGGTAGGAAAATACCTGTAGACCTTGGGGGTGGATCTAGGAGAGGGCAAGGTTTGGGGAGGGAAGGGGCCTCAGCATGGTACAGTGCCATAGAGTCCACCCTCCAAAGAAGCCATTTTGTCCAGGGGAACTGGTCTCTGTCAGCTGGGGATCAGTTGTAAAACTGGGAGAGCTCAAAGCCCCACCTGGGGGCTGGTAACCCTACAGGGACCTCAGTGGGATACAAAGCATCCATTTTCTCTAGGAGAACTGATCTCTATAGTCTGGAGATAAGCTGATCTGTAATTCCAGGGGATCCCCAGGTTCCACCTGGAGGCTGGCATCCCTACCTCCCCATCCCCTGCCAGTGGCCTGCGGGATCCAATGCCCTCCTGGCGGCTCATTAAATGAACTTGTAGAGGACTGGCATAGCCGACTCTCGGCAGCCATCAATGAGATCACTCCCTGATGCTCTTTGTGCCCTCGCTCTAGGCTCGCTCCCTGGTTCACCCAGGAGCTGCGGCTTATGAAGCAAAGGCTAAAATGGCTAGAGAGATGGTGGCGGTATTATAACAAGAAAGTAACACAAAACCCCAAGGAAATCACAGGGGCCTTTGAGAAATTTTACAAAGACCTGTATAAAAAGAAGAATATAGTGGACTTTCAGGAGGAAATTAGCCAAACAATAGAAGAAACAGAGAGAGGAAAACTGAGGGATGAGATTACGGCCCAAGAAATAAGGGAAGTAATTAGAGAACTTAAGAGGGGCAACTCTCCTGGGTTAGATGGTTTTACGGGGGAATTTTACAAAGAAATGATGGATATCTTGATACCGGAACTTCAGGTACTGTTTAATGAAGTTCTGGAGGGTAAAAGCGCTCCGGGCTCAAGGAGGATGACCGAAATAATACTGATCCTTAAACCTCAGAAAGACCCTAAAGAAGTAGGATCATGTAGACCCATAAGTCTCCTAAACCAAGACTATAGGATCTTTGCAAAAATAATGGCAAACAGACTAAAGAAGGTAATACCATCCATAATAAAAGGTGATCAGTATGGGTTCGTAAAAGGTAGAAGCATAGCGCACCCTATAAGGAATATCCTAAATGTGTTATACCATGGACACCAGAAGAAGATAGGATTACTAAAATTAGACGTTTACAAAGCCTTTGACACTCTAGCTCATGAATACCTATGGCAAATAATGAGTAAAGTGGGAATCGAAAAGGAATTCCTAGAGGCAATTAAGGAAATATATAAAGGAGGGAAGGCAATAGTGAGAGTAAATAATGAGCACTCACAAGCATTCCCTATACAAAGAGGGGAACGGCAAGGGTGCCCATTGTCACCGCTACTCTTCATAATGGCAGTAGAACAGTTAGCGGAAAGAATCCGGAATTCTGGAAGAATAGAAGGTTACAAGATAGGGAAGACGGAAATGAAAATTAATTTGTTTGCAGATGACATCATAATCATCATGACAAATCCTAAAGAGGGAGTTAAGGAAGTTAAGATTATTTTAGAGGATTTCGAAAAAAACTCAGGGCTAAGTGTAAATATGGAAAAATCCGAAATTTTATACGTAAATGTAAATAGAGAAGAAAAGAAAGAAATAAACAGAAGTACAAACATAGGGCTAGGAGTTAAGAAATTTAAATATTTAGGAATAGTAATACAGAAAAATTTGGATAAGATGATAAAGGAAAATTATGATAAAATTTGGAAGAAAATAGAGAAGGATATGAGAAGGTGGAAAAACAAAACAATAGGGATATCCTCTAAGATTAGAAGTGTTAAAATGTTCTGGGTACCAAAAATATTGTACTTACTCCAAACACTACCAGTGGGAGCAATGGAAAATAAAATTACTCAGTGGAACAGATTATTAAAAGAGTGGATTTTCGGCAACAAAAAATGTAGGTTTCATAAAGGGATAGTATACAGCCATAAATCAGAACTGGGATGGGGAGTTCCAGACTTAAATAGGTACTATGAGGCATTCCAACTTAAATCATTACTGGAATTAAGTGAGGAAAAAGAACTGAAATGGGTTAAATTTGAGGATGAGATTAATAACAATATAGGAAGATTAGGTATGTTTCACAAAGTTAAGGCTAATGAACTAAAATTAACAATAGGCCCTAGAAGATCAACATTAGAAGTCTGGAGGAAGTGGCAACCGCATTGGCTAAGGAGACCCTCTAGATGGGCGCCATTGGAAACTATCATAGAAAAGGAGCAAGAAATCAAATGGTGGGAAATTTTAAGGTCTAAAGGATATCATAGAGTGGAGGATATGTTTAGAGGGAAAATCCTCAAGTCACTCCAAGAAGTAACAGAGGAGATAGGTAAACAACACTGGTTAAAAATAGCAGGTCTCTATAAGGCTATAAAGGAGATCTATGAAAAAGAAGACATGTGGATAGACGAACCAATGGAAGAAATATATAAAGAAATGGTTGTGAAGAAACAAGGTCTAGTAGGGAAAATGTATAAAAAGATGATATTAAATAAAGATAAAATGATAGAATATTTACAACAAGTGTGGAGTAGAGAAGGAAGGATAACAGAGAGGATGGCAGGTAAAATTATGAGAGGAATAGACAAAATTAAGGTATTTAGATTCAAAGAATTGGAATATAAATTTCTCACGAAATGGTATAAGACACCGGCTCAACTGGCTAACATGTTCCCAGGATCAAGTTCACTTTGCTGG